GTGCAGGTCCCCACAGAAGCCAGACCCGTAGGATCCCTGGAAGCTGGAGTCACAGGCAGTTGTGAGTCACGTGATGTGGGTGTTAGGGATTACACTCAGTACTACATGCTCTTAACTGCTGAGCTATCTCTTCAGCCCCTAGTTATAGAAATACATCATTTTATATGCTTCTTACAAATTTCTAACAGTTTCTCAGCTCTGCAAGGTAATTATACTATAATTCCAATTTTAGCAGATGAGAAAACTGACAAAATATGAAAAAGATTTCCTGCATGTCTTTAGCTAATGGTAGAACTGATGAATATATTAAGCAGTCTGATTCCAAAAGCCAGACTTTTAAAAAAAAGGTTTATTTTTATTTATGTGTGTGGATGTTTTGCCTACATATATATCTGTGTGCCACTTGGGTGCTTGGGAAGCCAGAAGAGGGTGATGGATCCCTGGAGCCACCATTGAGCCATCTCTCCAGCCTCCACTAGGACCAGACTCTGGTTTAACCATCCTACAAACTGAGGAAAATGAGCACGGAAGGAGGCTTCCATGGCTATTTCTTTTTGTCAACATGGTATATTTTGTTGCTTTAGGCAACGTTTGTTGTATATTTACTAAGAACTTCATACAGATTGTTCCACTAAATGCTCGTAACACAGCGAGGTCAATTAGAATAGGTTAAACTGCTGTAATGTAGGTGGAATATGTGAGCCTAAAAGTTTTTTTGTTATTGTTTGAGACACAGCCTGCTTTATAGTCCTACCTGTCCTAGAACTCACCATGTAGACCCAGCTGGTCTCAGACTCACAGAGCACCTCCTGCCTCTGCCTCCCAACCCAGTACTTAGTTAAAGGCTGTGTCACACGTAGCAACTTTGCTTTCATCATTCACTTCTACATCAGCCTAGGGATCAAATCTTCTGTACTGGCATATGTGTGTGCAGGTATAGGTTATATATTGTTTGCACTGATTCTTGCCATCTTCATAAAGCACATGCATGTAACTCCAGCACTCTAGAAGCTGAGGCAGAGGGCTCACAAGTCTAAGAACAGTCAGGGCTTTACAGTGAGACCCTATCTCAAAATAAAATAAAATAAAACGAGGTGTTACTTTAAATGTTCAGATTTAGAGAAAAAAAATACTGGACTACTTAGAATCCAGTAGTTCTGGAAGTACACAAAGTTGAAAAGAAGCCAGGCATGGTGTCCTTAAAGGCTGAGGATCTCTGTGGGTTTGAGGCCAGCCTGGTCTATATAATGAATTCCAGTATAGCCAGAGCTATATAGAGAGACTCTGTCGAGAGAGACAGAGAGAGAGAGAGAGAGAGAGAGAGAGAGAGAGGCAGAGGACCTGAGTATTAGAATACTGATTAGGTTAATACATTTCTTCTTCTTCTTCTTCTTCTTCTTCTTCTTCTTCTTCTTCTTCTTCTTCTTCTTCTTCTTCTTCTTCTTCTTCTTCTTCTTCTTCTCCTTTCTCCTCCCCTTCCTCCTCCTCCTCCTCCTCCTCCTCTCTCTCTCTCTCTCAGACAGAACTTCCCCATATAGCCCAAGCTGGCCTCAAACTCAAAATCCTCCTGCCTCATCCTCCAAATGCTGCTGTTATGGTGTGCAACACCATGCTTTGTTTTATGTGAGAAGTAGAAATTCATAATGGATATCATTGAGTAACATGTTAAGAATCATAAGTATTAATTACATGTATTTCTCTCTCTCTCTCTCTCTCTAGCAGCCAGAGTCTAGATAAACGAAGAATTCAAAAAACATAAAAATGAGGCCTCCCCGGAGAAAATAGAAGAGGTACAGTAATAGGTTTCAATTGTAATAAAGCTGGTGTAAATGTTCTAGGTAAAGAGAGGACGGTGGGAATGGAGGGTTATATGAAGGGAAGCCATTGAGCACCTGCAGTAGTAAAAGCTTCCACAGCTGTAGACAACCTCCACTTGTTTGCTGTGGCTCCCCTCAGGATTATTTCCTACCCACCGAGATAACAAGGCCCCCTGGAAAGAGAATACAGAAGCAGCCCTAGTCCAGTCCAGGGCAGCTGAACGATGGCAGAAGCCCTAACATTCTTTTTTCTTGAGGCAAGTGACTTCACTTGAGGCAAGTGACTAAAGATAAGGAACAAGTGTTCATGACGCAGCACTTCAGAGGGAATTTTAGGTAGGGAAGCATCCTGACTAATGCAGAGTAGAGCTGGGCATGGTGGGGTATGCCTGTCATTCTAGTACTCAAGAGGCTGAAGCAGAAGAATCACGAATCCAATGCCAGCCTGGACTATATACTAACGTACTGTCTTTTAAAAAAGTAAGAAAAGATTCATACTTATGAAGAATTGATTGGTAAAAGAGAAAATACAAATGAGAGAAAGTCTCCCATATTTAATATCATTTATACACATGAATAAAAATCTACTTTATTTATTTATTTTGAGACAGGGTCTCACTGTGTAGCTCTGCTGTGTTAGAACTCACTGTGTAGACCAGGCCAGCCTCTGCCTCCAAAGTGATAGGATTAAAGGTGTGTTCCACCATGCCCAGCCCTGAACACATTTTAAAATGCATATTATAACAAGAAAGTTCTAAATCTGTTTTTGAGCAAAATATAGGATATGTAGATAAAAATGAAGGGCATCTGAAATGTTTGCACTTTCTATACTACTCTTTACAGTTGCACAGAGCTAAAAGCCACATTATCTGAAAGTGACCTGTTAAACTGTGGTTTTCAAAACCAGTGCAGTTCTACAAAGCACTCAGGGGTTGGTTACTCTGTTTGATTTTCCTAACAGATGTTGAAAATGGGTTCTGATGTTGAACTGTTACTCAGAACATGTGTTATTCAAGGTATTCACACTGACCGCAACACATTGAGTAAGTAAAGTGTGTGGGGGGTATGATTTCTGATTGTGATATTTCAAAATAGTAATGATTACTGCACCTTTGTTTGTTTTTATTTTATTACTATTGATTTTTTTTCTTTCTTAATTCTTTGAGACAGGGTTTCTTTGAACTTGCTGTGTAAATCAGACTGGTCTCCACTGGGATTAAAGGCATGACCACACCCACCACACTGGCTTTACTCTAACACTGACACTGGGATTGAACTCAAAAGCTCAACTGAGCCATGTAGCACTAATAATAAAAACCTAGAGACAGGGGCTGGAGAGATGGCTTAGAGGTTAAGAGCACTGCCTGCTCTTCCAGAGGTCCTGAGTTCAATTCTCAGTAACCACATGGTGGCTCACAATCATCTGAAATGAGATCTGGTGCCCTCCCTGGCCTGTAGTTATACATGTAGAAAGAACACTGTATACATAATAAATAAATAAATCTTTAAAAAAAGAAAAAGAAAAAATTCTAGAGACAGATATAGGGGTTCAAGCTGAAGATCAGAGAAGCAAAGCAGCCAAGCCAGTAGCTCTTACTTCTACCTGTATTCAAATGGGTGATCCTGTCTCCACTAATCCTCAGAGTGCAATGCTCTCTCTACAAAACCTCAGACTGAATGCTCTCCATATCTTGAAACTAAATCTCACATGAGACCCTTTGCTTCTTCCTTTTATACCTCTCAAATCCTGGGATTAAAGGCATGAGCTCTGATTCACTCTCGAGTGTAGCCCAGGGTGGTCTTGGACTCACAGAGATCCATCTGCCTGTCTCCTGAGTCCTGGGATTACAGGTATGTGCCACCACTGCCTGTCTTCTAGGACTAACTACTATGGCTGCTGGGATTAAAGGTGTGTATCACCACTGCTTGGCTCTATGGCTATGGCTAGCTTTGCATTTTGCTCTCCTTGTTGCTTTATTAGATCATAAACAATGTATCACCACAGTGCCATCTCTCTTACCCCCTTTTTACTTTTAAGTTTATTTTTAGATTTATTTTGAGGCAGGATTTCTCTGTGTAGCCTTGATTGTCCTAGAACTTGCTCTGTAGACCAGGCTGGCCTCAAACTCACAGAAATCCTCCTGCCTCTGCCTCCTGAGTGTTGGGATTAAAACTGTATGCCACTACTGCCCGGATAGATATTTTTCTTTTATTTTATGTGTATTCATGTTTTACTTGCATGTATATATGTGCACCCACGTGTGCTTGGTATCAGCTGAAGTCACAAGAGAGCTTTGGATCCCCTGGGTTAAAATTATGGATGGTTGTTAGCCATTATGTGAATGATGAGAACTGAAACCAGGTCCTCTATAAGAGCAGCTCGTGCTCTTAACTGCTGAGCCATCTATCCAGAGCCCCTCTCCCATAATATTAATTCCTGGTTATATTGCAAAATTGTAGTTGTAAACATACTTTTTTTGTTTGTTTGTTTTTTTCTAGACAGGGTCTCACTATATAGTCTTGGCTGTCCTAGAACTCATTATATAGACCAGGCTGGCCTTGAACTCACAGAGATCTGCTTGCTTCTGCCTCACAAGTGCTGAGACTAAAGGAGTGCACCACTATATTAACTACAACATTTTTTTTTTTCAAGACAGGGTTTCTCTGTATTGCTTTGGAAGTTGTCCTGGAACTAGCACTGTAGGCCAGGTTCAACTACAACAACAACAATAACCCTAATTTCAGTGATGCTGAACACATCTAAGCATAGCTTTTATTTAGGCTTCCCCACTACTTTTCTCTCTTTTAAATTTTTTTATTAATTTTTTTCTCCCCATTTTTATTTAAATTAGAAACAAGATTGTTTTACATGTCAATCCTAGTTCCCTCTGCCTCCCCTGCCCCCCACCCCCATGACACCCACGTTCATGGGATCTGGATCAGTCTCATGCTGGTTTCCCAGCAATTAGTCTGGGGACCAAGAGCTCCCCCTTGGTCAGGTCAGCTGTTTCTGTGGGTTTT